AAGAACACTATGTAAAACAAAAGTTGCCTGCAACACGAAGCATGCCTTCACATCAAGACTGACAGTCCTAATGTTTATCATGATACATTAATGCATATGTTCGAATGTTCCCAAAAATCTTCTGATAATCTGCCCGCACCCACCCCTCACCCCGCCCTCACCACTGAACCGTACTGTTTTCACTCAGCGGCTGGTCAGCGATCACGTTTATGAAGTAAACATGGCGATCGCTACCTGATCACCGTTCTTGTCGATCCGAATGTCAAAATACCAGCGTGATATTGCCGCGAAGATGAAGCAGTTATGTAATTTGATTTGTACTTCACATTTGAGTCAAAGCTTGGGTGGCACAGGTTGTTTCTTACGGTGGAATCGACGAGGGGAATTCGAACACTAGTAGTAGAGTACTACTACTATTTAGTAGTAGAAATGGTCGCGATGGTAAGTTTAGCGAACAATTTCAAATTTTGCAGCTTGAATTGAAAGTAAAGTTCATTTGAATTGCTTTCGTATGTATTTCTGACGGTTTTAGATCTACCTGCTTGATTTATTACGCTTCATGTTGACAAGTCCCTCAAAATGGCGGCCAAACTTGTAGATTGCCAAAAATTAGGTAAGTTCACGGAGTTATAAAGTTCTCGTAAAGGTCGGGCCGCAAAGTTTTTTTTTTCTGTAGTTACTTTTTCTATGGCACCTACTTCCTAGCTATGTTAGTTGGATCAGTTAAGAACGCCTCACTTTTTCCAAAATTTACCTTGAATTTGATCGGTTTTGGCGTCTGTGATTTAGGCGAACCGATAAGTGTCATTCAAGTCTTCCTGTTTCCTTAATTGAAACGTGATGTTCACGAAAGTCGCCTCGATAGATAAGATAAAGTCAACATACATGGCTATGGTATTTGTTTTTTGCTGAATTTCGTAGTTTTGTAAGTTGTCCTCCAAAGTTGTATGAAATTAAAGTCTTCAGAAGTGTCACGACAAGCCTTCGCTCTAGTGAAATTTAATTTCCGTAAAACTCCGTAAAGTAAAGAGATCCGATCAAACTGATTGTTTGTTTTAGTATAGGTACATGAATGTCTTACAACACTCAAGAAACGAGCGAAATCCGTGTCTCAAGCAAAATCGACCGGACCACTCTTACAGAGACACTCTCTTAAACGCTTTCCAAACTATTTTGTGTTTACCAAAATAGCGTTTTCTGTGAAAAACGGACCTTTTAGGCATATTTTTCATATAGATTCCGCAAAACATCGTGCTTTTTCCCAGAGACGGTGTAATGTTGGCTTTAAAGCATCACTATTTAGGCAAAAAATGCGGAAATTTCCCTTTTGTAATAAAAAGTAAAATGCCTCAGTTTTCACGGATTAAGAAAATGCGTTGCTTCAAAAGAGCAACATTTTGTATAATTCAACGGAAAGTTAAATGTAGGTGCGTTTTACTAAAAAAAAATATTCAATTTTTAACCGCGTTGGTTGTTAACTCTGGTAAAAAATGCATATAATACTCTGCACGTTTGAGAATGGAACGATAAAGTCTTTGATTTAACCCTTAATATGTTTAAGCGGTGTTTTTTTTCCATAGGTAGAGTATTATGTTAGAAACAATTTTGAATGGTATAGTGTAGTATTAATTCAGCTGATTGAATTGCCAGCTGCAAGAAAGATGAGAAAGAAAGTTTTTTTGAGTTAAATTCACAATGAAGATGAGTTGGATCGACTAAGAGGAAAAATCAAACTGTTAGTGTCGATGTTCAAAAATGCCAAATAAATTATAAAGCTTACATAGCAACAATGCAGCTACAAAGAAACATTTTCTTGCTCTATCTGCCTTTAACTCGAAAGTAATATAGGTAACCTCTTTAATTATAAAAAATGATCAAAACAAATTGAGAAACATGAGCACCTACATTGTTTTGACAACATTTTCGATGGAATACACGAAGTAATGTAAATCCATTTAAGGTATGCTGATAGACTTTCACTTAAACAAAAAAATAAACTAATCCTCCTCAAAGATTTCATTTGCACAGAAATATTCCTTTAATACTTTTTTTACGGTCATTTTTTTAACTTTTGCGCCACCATGATGCTGAATTAAATTTCCATAAACGATAACACATTTAGATTTTCTATGATACTATGATAATTGAAACCCACCGACGCAGCGCCACAGATTCTTCAGAAACTTACCCCCCTTGTACTGTGTATCAGTTTGTGTAGATTTTAAAGCTAATTTAAAATTGTGATAATTAATTTCTACTGATTCATTGCCTCCAATACGAAGCCGTTATTCCCAGACGGAAGCACTAAATCATGGAGAAGGAACACAATTCAGGAAGTTCTTACCAACGAACAAAAATAAACATCGTTGTGGTAACTTCAGAAAACATCATTATGCCACTTTCTAACAAGGCTGCATTTAGCCTATAACAAGGCTGCATGGTAATCAAAAATTATCCATCACGATTATCACGACACACGGGAAGTTCTTAGAATAAACAATGGCTGTAGGGTAATGTAACAAAGTTTCATGATGCCAGCTGTTGTGCATGTATAAAAGCGAAAATCAGGAAGCCATCAAATTAATTCTTCATTTTCACAAGCTAGGTTTACATCTATTCATTTCTTTAACGCTCGATTTTCTATTGAATATAAAACTGTAGGAAAGTTGCGTGACCTATAGCTACATACCTTTTTTTCTTAGACCACTTTGTTTAAAGCAATTCTTTCAAGTCCAATTTATCTTAAGCAGAAACGATTTGAATATCAGTGTGCGTATCATTTCGGAAATTTCATTTATCATTCCTAAAAAGGGACGACAATACGGATATGAAATACGTCGTGGAAGTGAATTTGCCGAGGTGTAACACGCCTGCATAATTACAACTGTTTTTTATTAATTTTTCATGATGTCAGACCACAGAATGATGTGACAATACTTTTTATGGAAATTAAGAGGTAAATTGTTTCTGAACCGAGCAGCATTCTAAACAAACATTTGTACTTGTATAAACTAAGACAGAACAAACAGCTGACATACGAAATAGTTTGACTGCCATTGGTTTAACCGGCGACAGCCTTATTTAAATAAATACTATTAAGAAAAGAATTTGTTTCTTAAGCATATGTTAAATGGGTCAGAACTTTTCTAATCGCGCTCTGTATCATGTATTCTGTTTTTGTCTCCCTTCTCTTATTGGAGCTCTGCTCTATGATACAACGGGCTGTCAGATCACAAGGTTAGTTTTAATATGACTCATGTTCAATTTATCTTACCTTTGTTTTGAGTTATCTTTATTTTTTGGGAAACGATTTATTCAATCATAAGAATTCGTCATTGAGTCAAAAAATTAACTTTATCCACATATATTTACTGAACAAATTTTAAAATTTTCATTTATCAACCTACAACCAGTACTTTGAAGAAGTAAGACATTTTCGTGTGCGTATGTGCATTAAATTAGAATTTTACAGAACGAAGCACAGACGATTACAAAATCGATGTCAGAACTTCTGCCGGGGAACTTGAACCCCCTTAGACGTCTTCTTCCATTGACCCAAGCTGTCCAGAAATTGCTCCTCGTCTTTCCGAAGATACTAGCCTTCAAAATAAGGACTTAAAGTTTTTAGATTGGGGATGAAATGAAAGTGCCCAGTGTTAATAATGGGAAAAAGGAAAGCCCAACAGTCAAGGAGACACATTTAAGGTCCTTTCGATCGGCCCAGTGGAGATGTTACTTTTAGACTTAGGATGAAAGTCAGGTGAAAGCAAAACAGAAATGAAATAATTTTAAATTCACGAGCAAAAGATAATTTTTGTCGTGTTTACATACTCTGATCTTAAAGAGGCTCCATTGGTTTTTTGGTCGATGATGGCGCGCACGCGCCAGCGTAATGTTTTCCTGGAAGTTTTTTTATTTTTCCGCTTTTCAAGGTCAATATGAGTCATCAAAAGGCAATGAGCAAGGTTTGGATTATCGTTTCCTGTAGTAAATATTATAAAAATGATTTCTGTTATTAAGCTAAGGCTCTATCAAGGGACGCGCTCGCCAATGATAATTTGGCTTTGTCTTTGACTTTATTCAATTTGCTTCGGTGAAATCTCTCAAAATTTACACAATTTTTGAAAATTGTCTTGCCGATCATTTAAAAGCCGAAAAAAATAGCGGTTACAAAGGTAGTATCCTCGCTATTTGCAATTTCGTGTTTCTTTCCTCTATCTCAAATTTGTTCTCAAGGAAACAGGGACTAGGAAGGGTACAAATATGTTCAACGGTCCAGCAAATCCTAAGAAATTCTACTGTAGAAAACGCTCTAAACTTACTCGAAACGTCCTTATTTTCTTTGTCGCAAAACATCATGTAACAATAGAACTTCGCTAACATCGGTATCTAAGTATGCTTAAATTTTCCATCTGTCGCGTCATCTGTTGCCTTTTGGCAACCTTTCCCACGGTGTTTTCTTTTTCATTGAGTTCTTTCTCAGGCGCAGAAGGCCTATGAATATTATAGGTGAAGTTGCTGGAAACCCTTGATTCTATCACATAAAATTGTATCGTGTTAAACTGTTTTTAACACACCTTTTCAGATAATAATCGTGCGATCAAGCCGCCGTGCTATGTTCGCAGACCCAGATCTTGCCCTATAAAAAAACCCTGTGGAGTCTCCTTAACACCCGCGACACTGTCGAGGGTTTGTATATCTCTTTTCTTGTAAATACTTTTTGCAAGATAGAAATAAAGTAGACGAAGATAAAAAAAAGTTCAAGTCTGACACAATAGGTAATGGAATATCACTTATCACATTTTCCGTAATTCTTAACAAATCATAATAAGCAATAATGTTACGTTTCATATATTTATTATTTCCATGTCAAAGACGTGTGCATCGCAGACCAGTGTCGTAATTTGGAGTTCGGACCTGAGAAAGCATTTGGCGGGAAACGCCTCATAAACCACACAATTCGCACCGTAGAAATTCCAGTTTCCAACTTCTGTGAAAACATGTGTTATATGGAGCCCGACTGTGTCAGCATTAATCTTTATACACGGGCAGATGGAAATGGAAACTATAAATGTGAACTGAACAATGCTACTCATGAAGGACACGAAGGAAAGTTGATAGAACAAGAAATGTATGTTTATCACGCAGCTGAGGTAAATATTGCTTTCAATTTAAGATTCAGATTGGTGTACTTTGTTTTTCTTTTGTAAATTCCTAGTCTCACGTTTACCTTGAATTACGAACTCTTTCATGACACTAGCAATAATATTGTGTCTGTGCTCTTCACCAAAATCTCCTCAAAGACAAAGCATTTTAAAGTTATTGGAGAAATATAGAAATACAAGGACAACTATGATGACAAGGATAACGATGGCGATATTGATGATGGTAGCGGTGCGGACTATTAAATGTTGAAAATAATTTTAAGGTTGATAGTAACGATGACAATGACAACTGTTTGTTTCTTCTGTTAGGGCAATTGTGTTGAAAATCCTTGTAAGAACAATGCTACTTGTCAAAGCGGATTTACTAAGAAAGGTTTTCGGTGTCTGTGTATCGCTGGATTTGAGGGTCCGATTTGCGAAAGAGGTAAACACAACTTTTATGATGATATCTTTAGACTTTCAGTTTAACAACAACAAGCAAAAACTTTATCGCTGCTTGTTAATTGTGTCTCAAATAATAAAATAGCTTTCTCTGTACTCATGTAGCTCAAACCGCTCTTACTAGTCACTAGGACAAAGGGCCTTTGTTGCGGTTACTTCACCAACACCACTCGATAGCGAAGTTTTCGTTTTTTGTCATTTCTTCTCGTCATCTCCTATCTCCTTATTCGTCTTGACATATTTTCTCCTGAGCTGCACTGAAAGTGAAAAGAGACAAAAGTAAAATAGATGAACCACAAGCAAAAAGATAATTAGCCACCTGTAGAACTTTCGGGATTAAAAAAGAGGGAATATGTGACTGTTTCGCAGCTCATCAGCACTGTTTGTGACTTACAAGTTGGTTGTGGGTCGACTCATTTTGAATACATTTTTTTCACTCTGTACAAAGTAAATGAAGTGTAGTGATCACGAGAAAAGAAAAACTACGTTTATCATATTAAGAACAGTATGTGTAGGAGGCCTACCTGATTATTCTTGTACAGTTGTTAGTGCTTCAATTTTTTTTTTTTTCAGTACGATAATTATGTTTTTATTTATTTATTTATTTTTTTTTTTTTTTTCAGACATCAACGAATGTGTTCGTGGGCTACACAAATGCAGCTCTGATGCGTTTTGCAGCAATACTAAAGGTTCCTACAATTGCACTTGCAAACATGGATTCACGGGAAATGGACGAGAATGTAAAGGTAGGCGTTGGATTTATTACCAATTATGTGATGAAAAAAATAAAGCTTGCATTTGCAAATTATCCACAAAGGGGTGATCAGGAAATGTGGAGAGAAACTGAACGCGAGAGGAGATACATATAGACGAAACCACATTGAAACAATGTATTCTTAATCTCCAAAGTGTTTTTGCATCAATCGGAATCAATGTACTCATCACTGTTTGTTGGTTTCGTTCATCTTTTGTTGAAGAGACTGTCGCATGGCTACAGAAACCTATTTGATGTTCTCAACAACAAATATTAATGATGTTCAAATCATGTACGAATATCAAGTAATACTGCTGACCTTTTAAATCTTTTATATATTTTCGTCAATTATTGGTCGGCTTTATATCTGTAGACATCAATGAGTGTGTCGCAAGGTCACACTCTTGCAGCCCTGATGCCTATTGCAACAATACCAAAGGCTCTGTACATGTAAACCTGTTTCACTGGGAGTGAAAGAGAATGTGGGGGTGAGCGTTAATTTTGAGAATATTGAGTAAAAGAGGCGGATTTTTCTAATTTGGAACTTTCTGATAAAACAAAAACTACGTTTATCATATCAAGAACAGTTGGAGGCCTACCCATGTATTGTTGTTTTTACAGTTGTTGGTGCGTCTATGTTTTTTTCTTTTTTTTAAACGATAACTTGTATTTAGTTATCGGTGTATTTCTTTTGCTCAGACATCAACGAATGTGTTCGTGGGCTAGACAAATGCAGCTCTGATGCATTTTGCAACAATACCAAAGGGTCTTACAACTGTACATGTAAACCTGGATTCACTGGAAATGGACGCGAATGTAAAGGTAAACGTTGAGGTCGAAATGTAGAGGAAAATCAGCTGATGAAAGTCTAAGTAAGAATTTTGATACACTGGCGATAGCACTGCTCTTCTAGTGAGCCTTGCAACCCTTATGAGTTTCTAAGCCCCTCTTCCGTGTAGTGTTTTAAAACGTTTGCAATGGGAAAATTACTGATTTCGTTTTTCGCATGAAATCACGATTCATAAAACTTGTCAGTGTCTGCGTGATCTCCCTCGTTCTTTGGTTTCAGAAGACAAGTCAGATCTCGGTTTTGGTAATTCAAGATATCATAGTCAACCTCGTCCAGTAATTGCTTATTAGCTTAAAACTTTTCTTCGTCTCCTTTTTTTTATTTATTTATTTTCAATTGGTAAGTCCCTTTGAAACACATCCATCGATGATTCTTGATCGTTTATATGTTCTCTTCGAGTAAAATCACAAATTATGAAGTAACATCTGTTGCAGCTTATACTGTAAATCTAATCATCCGGAGTTTAAACTTAATACCCAATCATAGTTTATAGATATTTTTGGAAATAATTGATTATTTTTCAAACACGACCAGTAATAAACTTGGTAAGCGTTCAGTAACGTAGAAACTTTAAAAATTGGATGAAAACATCTATTGCTTTATTAAGATAATAACAACTGATCCTCTCCCGACGCTGTTTCTTATCAATGATCTATTTAAAGAAAACATACATGCTACCAAATGAAGTGAATGAAAACTGACTCTTTCCAGTCAAAAAGCAGAGCTTGGAACATGATGAATTTCTTCTGTCATTCAGTCAGATCGCAGTCAATCTAGTTTCCCAATGATGGATTGAGATGTAGCTAAAAAAAAGTTTACAATTTCCTCTAATCAAAGATATTTTTAAACTTCTTGCAGGAGCTTCCTCGTGTAAAGAAATTCATGACATGCAAGTAGAACTGATTTTCGATATTATTTTCATAGTACATCAAATATCGCGCTTTCCCGCATATAGTTTAGGCCCACCACGGCACCGAATATACCCCAATTTTCAAACCACATTCCATATGCGGAGAAAGTCCTCCTTTAAATCTTTATTCATTTCAGTGGAATGCATTACTGTCCTCAGAGAAGAAGTGAAAAAATATCTTTTGAACTCGGACACCTGTTTGATTCAAGAACAAATAACCGAGCATTGTTTATATTCCGCAGATATTGACGTCTGAAGGATCAACTTTCCATTTGCTTATTAGTTGAATCATTATTATTATTATTATTGTCAATCAGTATCTTTCCCATTATCAGTTTCATTGCCACCGTTGTAGCTATGATAATTATTTTCATAAGCTCAAGGTTTTATTTCACCATCATTGTTTTCATTACTAGTTGTATTTCTTTTTTTTTTATTCAAAAGATCCAATGTGAGTGGTGTGGTTACCCTTCTTGTTGACTCCCAACCATTGTCCGTTTTCTGTTCCATGGGAAATTTTGGGTGTGGAGATGGTGGATGGACGCCAGTCATGAAGATTGACGGCAGAGAGGTGCATACTTTTATTGAATAATTCATTTCCTGTATAAACCCGCTCTCTTTCAAAACGTTGCAAGTTAAAAACGTGCGTTTTACATATGTATGCCTTCAGTCGTCTTTCATTGAGAAGGTAATACATGAAGAACAGACCTCGTTCAACGTAAATTTGAAGACTCGTTGTGTGTAGTGACTGTTGAAAAAGGATGAAAAAGAATGTATAAATATATCCTAACATATTTGTCTCTAATAGCATGTAACGGCTATTTAAGAAATACACACCATTAAGATAATAATGCGGTTAAAAGCCGTCCGGAACAAACAACATATTTTATCTCAGTTAAAGTTCCACACTGGTTAATGGGTATGTAGATATAACCCTGATTTAAAGAGCTGTCACTGCTCATTCCCCGAGCAGCGGGAGGGAGGATAGGTAGAGGAGGATTCCTGGAGGACTATATAACATTTGGGGCCAGTTAACTTGCCAATGAGGAGAAATCGTTGGTCATAGGAATATTACTGACAGTCTTATGGGGAGATCAGGTTACTTTTATGGTGACATAACCAAAATCCAATTTGTTTTTGTTATATATGAAAAGAGATTGGAATTTCTTTATATAATAGCATCGTGTATCATCCTTCATTCACTTCACAAATGATTGTCATTTCAATGTCTCTTGATTGGCGTCCAAATGAAAACACAGAAAAACTCCTTATAACTAGAAAGATATGTTATGCACCGATTTACGGCGCGGGGTCCGTGTTGGAAAAAAAATGACCTTAGTCTTCACGACACGATGGCGTAATTACCAAGGTCAATTTAACGGTAAAACAAATGAGTAATGGATCAATAAATGCAGATATACGACAGGACTTTGACAGAAAATATCCATTAATTCGGATTAAATAAAAAAAAATGTATTGCTCCTATATTTCAGACCACCTTCCATTATGATGAGCATTACTGGATAAATTACCAAGGATACAATCTTCCCGGAGGAGAGACTGGGTTCGACGGACAAGAGTCAAAGCTACCCACCTACTGGAACACATCCTTCAAGATCTGTCTCGGTATGAAGATCGACAGCTCAGATTCACTGTCATCCACTAGCAAGCTGACGCTCTGTACTCACTGATCGCTGATGAGCAATACCGCGCCACCTCACTGGGTTGTGAGAAGTGGAAAGAGTTGATTGGTTCCTACGGCTCATTACGGTACAACTGCACCAAAGAAGGGTTTAATGTCGTCTGTAGCTGGAGTGGACATTCTAAGGCCAGAATTGGTATTGTTGGCGAGGGCAAGAATGAGTGTGGCTCGTGCGACTCAAAGATCAAATTTGGCACAAAAGGGAGCCCTGACAATTCAAACACGTCCGGTAAGGAGGCTGCTTTTTCTCCAGATAATAGATACAAACACATCAAGGCCATGGGATACATCCTGGTACAAGATATGACTCAGTTTTCGCTAAAAAAAAACTTTTAATAAGTTTAATAGTCATTATACAGATTTTTCCTGTTTCAAGCGCAACCCCTCGGATAGGGACTTGTGTCCGTGTATAACTTTGGTTTTACCCTGGATCAACCTCTAGCCATTCTTTCTACTAAGCCTGCAAATGAAAAGTATTACATGTAAAACGACATGTCAAACAGCATCAAAATATTCTGATAACAGGGGTGTCCAGCTCGCTTACTTTGTCGTAGAAATTATTATTGCCCAATAATGTTTTCCAATATTATCCTAAAATTTCAGAAGGTGTATCTTTTGAGGAAGAGGTGGACGGGTCAAAATCTCTCCCACTACGTTTGGGTTGTTAAATGTATCACTATAATCCTTAAAGGAAAATGACAGCTATGCTTTCTGGCCTAAATGAAATCGAGACGATACTTAAATAAAAGTAGACTAGTTTGCTGCAGTTTTATCTTTCATTGCCTTCAGTGAGATGTAGTTGCACAGTTCTGGACTTATCAGCTCATCTAAGTTCGGGCGGGGCACCTATCTGATATCTGATAACTACCTTGGACTTGCTGCTTGGACGTAACAATCTTCCCTAGCTAATCTTGCCTCTCCACTACATCCCCCGTTTTACATAGGTGCCCTCTTTTCTATGCTCTTTTCTACGCTCTTTTCTACGCTCTTTCCTCTCTCCCACTTTCTTTACCCTTTCGTTGCAAATCTCCCACTGATTCTCAGAGCCTTATCTCCCGTTGCTGGTCACCATTTTCCCTTTCCTCACGGTCAAACTCTCTCTTAAAATGATGTTCTTCGAAATGAAAGCCACATACAATTCTTTTTTTATCGCTTTTCATTTTTTTCACTTTAGTTCTCTCCCGGAGACAAACATTTCAAACTAAATTTATGATACTGCGCCTGTCTGACTAATAAATGGTGCTTCGGAATCACTAAAATGAAAGAAAAAATCGCTGCAAATTCTCATTTTATTTTGTTTTGCTGATATCCAGCCTCAGTACGAGGTCAGCACACATATGCCAGTTTTCACATAGACGGGTGACTTTTCTCCTGCCCTGATTCTTCTCTAGGCTAAAAAACCGGCACTGCTCTCTGAACCAACTGCATGTCTCATCTATTTCAGCCCCCACGCAGTTTGCTTGTGGTAGCTTTGAAATCTCAATTGGCACCATATAATGTTTTCTTATATTCCAATAGGCTGTTGTAATTTCTTTTGTTTCGGTTTTTGACATCCCTCCCATCCACTGAAAAGCTCAAAGCCTTTCCCTCTCTATTCTCAGAATCCATTGTCCTCTGCAAGAATTAAACAATTAAAAATTGCTAAACAAACACTAATTAAACCTTTGACGCCAAAGAGTGACAAGCATCTAATTTCTTTTTATGGCAAGGATCAAAAATTCAAATTGTCTCAAGTTTTGCACACAAGTAGACCCTAGTAAGACAAGAATGACTGTGTATTTTTTTTCCTCAAATATGTTTTTCTTTTCGAGAAAAACGAACTTTTCGCTCTCACCCTCTGGAATCGATGGATCGGGTCATAACAGGTCGAAAATTGAACACTTTCGCTCGCTTCGCATTTCAAAGATATTACGTCTAAGGAAATCTTACCAACGTGTGCTCTTTCATAGACTCTTCGTCTTCTGTGAAATGTAAGTTGTGTATGAATTGGTTGCTAAAAGCTTTTAGCCATGCGAAAAAGCAATGTGCTCTCTTCCGTTTTAAAAAATGTAGGTAAAGAAAACCTCTTTTTTTTACCACGTGCCATTATTCAGAATTCCACTAAATTACGTATATAAATTGCCGGAGGAATGATCTTCAAAATGACGTAAAGTTTTCTTTGGGCAAATGTTTTCTCGCGACGCAGGAAACTCTTCAAAATAGCACACGGAAGAAATAAAATCACACAATATGTAGATTGTCTGACCAAAGAGTTAAGGAGCATTCCTGCCTTCGAAATGACTTCGGATCGAACAGCAGAACTTTTTCAGAAACAAATAACATTGTTATACCCAGTTTTGTTAAATTACTTTGTCTTTTATCATTTTAAGTTTGTTTCTGCAGAGATATTCTGCCTTCGTTCTGTCCAGTACGATTATTCACTAGTGCCAGTAATCGAATCTTAAGTTTTTGTTTAAGTTTTTGTCCATTGTTTACGTTTCTATATGTGCTTACCCGTGCCTTTTAACTAGAAGTCAATAAAAACTAACAGAGTTTTCAAAGGGAGTTTTTTTCAGGAGTTAAGTAGACTAACTGAGGGCTTGCATGACCTAATTAGCTTAATTGTAGGTATGGTCACTCGACGGTCATTTTTTAAGATAAGCACAATTACGTAGAAAAGAAAAAGTAAGTCTAAATATCCATTTGGCTCCGATTTTGCCTTTATTTCCACCCGAGCTGATTTTTTCTGCTGGAGTGAAAATACTTTTTAATTACCGCAATGTCTGTTCGCTTTGTAACGTACAGGCAAGACAATTAAATTTACAAAACTTAATTAACCGCGAAAGAGTCAATATCGCGTGTCTTAACTGTCACTGCTCTTAACTGCAAATAACCTTTTCGGCGCTTCTAACAAACTTCAGCTTCTTTGTTCGGTAAAAACAAAGTTGCGAGACCGTGTCAGCAGGACTGTACACCAAAGAATTCACAACTAACAGCAGCTGCAGGGACCATCAAACATTGTCATTCAATCCCCATTTGCCTGACACTGGCAGCCCATGACAAGGCTTGTTAGAATATCGACATACAGCTCCTTCCTCTTAACGTTGACCTGGGAAGTATCGAGTCCGAAAGATGTACAAATGTCATTTAACACTTTAATGGAAAAGTTTGAAAGCTTAGAATTCTTAACTAGTTCACAAATGCTGTAATCGTTGTACAAGATTGGATGTGCGTGCTGAATAGAAATTTCAGACACCACTCTTTTCCTCATTGCTTGCAGCTGGCTCTCCTCTTCTGCTCTGATTTGCTCATCGTCATCGCTCTGGTGGACCTCTTGGTGGTCGAGACTTCGCTTTCAGGCCAGACGAGAAAAGAAACTAGAATTTTGCCTGCTTGTAAGAAACTCAGAGTAGTCAAATAGCTGCTCGCCGTTTTCGTCTTTCTCAGGCCTCATTAACACTTGCATCATCTGCCTTTTGTCCCGTTTCTCCAGTATCTCCAGTTTGAAACTTGGCTATCAAGTAGTCCTTTCGCTTATCAGTGAAACGAGTATTGCGAGAACGACTCTGCCTTAGGGCCCATCCCATTTCAAGAAAAGCTATAGACGATGACGGTGTGGATTCCGTGTCCCGCAGTTTCAGCACAGCACTCGGTCCCTTCTCCAGTCTAGAGGCATACCCCAGCACGGCACGGTCATAAAGAGTTTCATATTCAAGAACATAATTGTGTCTCCCACATTCGAGATACTTCTGTAATGACGAATGGCGTTGATAGAACTTAATGCAACCCTCTTCCGAGAAGAAAAAATATTTTTAGCAGTGAAATCGCGCGATTCTTCACTTGAATCATCGGTACCTTCATCAGTGCTGTCTTGGTGCTCTTGTGATGTTTTAGCAACCTCAGCTCGTCTCAGCTTGATGGGAACAAAATTAGCTTCTATATTTTCGCTTGAATCACTGCATTCTAGCGTTGGAACTTCATCCTGGTCAGGAACATGAAACTTGCTCCAAGGAATGAATTTGCCTCTTCCAATTTTGTAGGATCTCCATACTTTCACACCTTCCTCACCATACTGAACGTTGTTGACAAAGCTCACACCATCTCATTTCACTGGCTTTTTGATGGAAGACAAAGAAGGCCTTCACAACACTACTTTTACTCCAGGGACACCTCCAAATGATGCTATTGCCTCCTGCATTTGAGATGCCGACTTTATATGGTGGCCTGAATTCAAATGGATGGCCATATGGGATTTGATCGTTGCAGCTTTCCGATCGCAAGATCCCTTCCCTCCTTGGGGATCTGAAAATCCATTCTGCGTAGGAAGAGATTGTTTAGCTCTGCTACTTTGATAGCTGTAACCGGGTTAAAGCGCAGTGGTAACACCCGGCTTTGTATTGTCTAGGATAAATGGATTGTAAATGAGGCATGACATCCTTCAGTCAACGAAAGACGTCGTTAAGTATGGCAAGAACTGCAGAACTGTCCTGATTACAGGTCTCAAATAAGTGTACAAATGTCATCATCTCAATCTTGCCATCATTTCCCTTCTCGTCACAACCGTGATATGCCATGGCAGACCTCTCTTACCAGACCAGTCTGTTTGGCTCTCCCTGAATTTCTTTGGTAGATATTTCATGGCCCAGTCTAAGACCAGTAAGACAGAAGTTTCATCCAGCTCATCGATAACGTCTAGTCTGGACTCGTCCTGGTTTGTTGAACGCAGTAAGTGCGATTTCCAGGAATTTATGCATTGTTTGGACTGTAAAGTCACAAAGGCCAAATCTTCTTTCGTATCGGTTGTGCCTCCCACTTCCTGTACAGCTCTCTCGATTTCAGCTACAACAAAAGACGAGTACATCAGTCGCATGCGTTTCTGTGGTTGTGATGGCAAATTTCAAGCGCGTAGGCTCGACAATGATCTGGTACACCTGAGTTCGTTGAAATGTGAACCTATTAATTGAAAAGAAAAATCTCGAATTAGAACGTATGATAACGACCATGGTCCCT